TAACGGGGCCAGAGAGAGAGTTCAATGGACTAAGTGCATGCTTGGCAGGTAGGAGATGTGGGCTCGGTCCCCAGCACTGCGTGGTCCCCAGAGCACCCCAGGAGCAACCTCTGAGTACAGACATAGGAAACCACCATTGACAGTGCCCAATATGTCCACCCCACCCACCCCCCCAGCAAAAACAAAAAAAAATGGGAAAAGGGAATAAAAAGAAATAGGTTTTATAATCTGAGGATTTGCCCTTGGACTCTAGGAGGGAAAACTCAGTACAGACCCACAGCTGCCTAACCAGCCTAAAGAAGGTTAGACTATGGAGATTTTTCAAAAACAGTCAGAATGAGCCTCCTGATGATCCAGTGATCCTACTTCATGGCATCTGCCCCCAATACACAAAAACATTCACTCAAAAGAGTGTGTTTACTGCTGAAAGTAGACTATAGACCAAACATGATTGTCACCCATTGCCTCTTTTGCAAACCACAACACCCAATAAGAAAGAGAGAACAAAAGGGAATGCCCTGCCACAGAGGCAGGGTGGGATGGGGGGATGGGGGGTGGGAGGGATACTGGGATCCGTGGTGGTGGAAAATGAGCACTGGTGGAGGGATGGGTATTTGATCATTGTATAATTCAAACCCAAGCACAAAAATTTGTAAGTCTACAACTGTACCTCATGATGTCACACTAATAAAAAAGAAAAAACCTACAGCTGGTTTTGCTTCTGCTCCCAATATTCTACTCAATTCAACTCTAGGTACCTCACTAATAAGGAACTATATTCAAACACAAAGCAATATCAAATTTCTCCAAGAGCTTAAGACATTGCCTGCCAACCTCCTCCTTTAGAATCAGACCTTCAAAAAAAACAGAATCAGACCTTCTGGGGATAAAGTTCATCAATAAATTATAATTTTGCTCATAAAAAAAGAGCGTGTGTACACCTCTGTTCATTGCAGCACTTAGTACAAGAGCTGGACATGGAAACAACCCAAATACCCAATGACAGATGATTGGATAAAGCTGCGGTGGCTTAATTACCCAGTAGAAAACTATGCAGATCAGAGGTGAACTTCTGCAGTTTGCTGCAACTTGGATGGCACTGGAGGGCCTCAGGTTAAGAGAAATAAGTCAGAGGGAGAAAGACAAATATTGGATGATTTCACTCATCTATAGTGAATAGGGAATAAGCAGGATTAAATAAGTGACAAACTTTGGCCTTGGACTATAAAAATGAGATTACAAAGTAGTTAATAGTAAAGGTGACAAAGGAACAGTGGCAGGGGTTTTAGTAGAGGTTAAGTATAGTAACTACACCTACATGTATATAACAAGAAAAAAATTAACCGAAGTTTAAGTAAATTTCATCTAATAAACACATAAAGAAAAACAAAATAAATGATCAAGACACCTCTCACAAAGATCAGTCATCATGAAAAAAATCTAAAAGTAATAATAAAAATAATTGAAAGTTAAATATCAGTGGATTGACTATTAACAGATTAGTCCACCTTAAGAGAAAATAAAGAAGAAAGTGAAGCTGAGAAAATGTAACACAAGGAATTAAAGGAAGAAAAATATACAAGAGTAGTTAACAAATACGGGAGACAGCGTAAGCAAACCCAACATAACTATACTAAGAGCTCAGAAGTAACAGGATAATTGAGAGACTATCCAAAAAAGACATGGAATACTCGAATTAATAAAAAACAGTGACTCCTACGCACAACAGTGAAATTAAATTCATAACAAATGCATTGTGCTAAACTCTAGAACACTAAAGACAGATATTCCAACAAACAGGGAGGAAAAAGCAGCCAACTTTAAAAGGAGCAATAATAATTAGATAGCAATAATAATTAGATCCCAAAAATATAACTAGAAGTAAACACAAATGATTTCAAAGAGCAAACTGAAAATAAGACTTCAAGACAATCATTTATGAATAATGTCAAAAGAAAATCATTTTTAGATAAGCAAAGATTGTTACCCAGTTGCAGTTTTAAATATCTTTAGAAGGGCTGGAGAGAGAGTGCAGTGCCTTGCACACAGTCAGCTCGATTCAATCCCCAGTATCCCTTATGGTCCTCTGAACTCCTATGGAATAACCCCTGAGCACAGATGTAGGAGTAAGGAAGCCTTGGGATGTGGTTTTAAAAAAAATTTTTTTAAGAACCTTAAAACTAAGTAAATAAGATTAGGGAAATAATGGGTGTTTTAAAGGCTTATTTTCAAACAAGAAATAATTCTGAAAATATAGAATAGGAAGAACTAAATGGAAGTGAAAATACCACATAGCAAACTCGATGGAGAAGAACTAAAGAAATTGAAGAACATATTATCACTGTAACTGCTCATATTAGCAAACCAGACTGAACACTAAGCTGAGCATTAATCCTAAGATCAAAAAAGAGCAGAATAACCCCAAAGGAAGAAAAGAATAAAGTTAAAGCAGGCCACAAGAATGAACATAATAAATTTATATAAGATGAATGCACAATAGAGAAACTTGGCAAGACACAAAATGTGTTTCTTCTAAACCATCAAAGGGCCCATAATAATAGGAAAGTCCAGGTGATAAAACATGGAATCTGGAGCAGTATGTGGGGATGTCCACCCTGCCAGGGACTAGCTGCAGGCAGGGCCTTGACAAGAGAGCTGTAGCTGATGTTGCTGGCATCACAGCCCCTCCACCCCTGGACGTCAAAGCCCAGTTCCCATGCTCTAAGAGATACTCTAATCAGAGTATCACTCTACCCCCATGATCAAACTGGATCTTATTCTTCCCATTTTACAGATAGGAGAAACTGAGATTTGCAAAACTTTTAGAATGTTTCCAAGGTCATCAAATTATCTTTTGACTGTGATTCAAGACCACATCTTTGTGACTTCACAGTCTGGCTTCTCAATCACCATACATATTCATATATATTTCTCAACTATAATAGAACAGGAAAACTACTATTAGTCACTCAGAATAGTTGATATTCTGGAAAGCTCTCTACTATATTCAAACTTCAGTGCGCATGTCTTTATAAAGTGCCCTTTAATTTTCTAAATGGCCCTTGATCGTAAACAGGAGTTCCCATTCATACTAATTAATGGTAATCCACCCACCAACTAAGGCTGTGGACTTGAAAGTGAAGGGAGATGGCTCAAAGAACTGGAGCACATGCTTGGCATGCAGGAGCCCTGGGTTCAATCCCCAGCATCTCACGGTCCTCTGAGTACCACCATATGTGGTCAGAAGACAAAAACTAAAACAAACCAAAAAAAGTGGACTTTGCCATTCAAAACAATAAGAATAATTACTAATATTTATTAGGCATCATACGTGCCAAACATAATGCTAAAGCTCTATTATTAGCCCATAATACAGATTAAGAACCTCAAAGGCAGTGGTGAAGCTTGGCTCTCATAGTCATAAGTGGGCAGAGACAGGATTCCAACCCAGACCCTCTAACACCAGGGCTTACAATCTTGACCACACAAAATTCCTGGGGCCCCACTTACTTATCAACTGATTGGAGATGATAATAGCCACCCCTGAACAGTAAAGTGGAAATAACATAAGGCAAGGAAAGCCACCTGACAAGGTAATGATGGGAACTAGCACTTGCAAAGACAGAGTCTAAAAGAGGGGCAGGGGTTCTTAAGCATTCCCACCCGAGACAGGTACCATGGCCAGAGCTGCCAGAAATACCTCAGACTCACAGTGCAGCTGATTCTCTATTCATTTGTGGTGATTGTGCATTCAGAAACCTTTTATTTGTTTTTAATTTAGTCACTGTGAAATTACAGACTTATTCATGACTGGGTTTCAGGCATACAATGTTTCAACATCAATCCCTTCACCTGTGTCCTCTTCCTTCCCCCAGTGCCCACCTCCAGTTGACTGCCCACACACCAGTTTGCACCCTCCAAGGGGCATTTTTTGGGGGTGTGGTTTATAGTACTATTATTGAGTGGGTTTCATAGTCTAAATGACCTCCTCAATCCCATGGGGTTACATCCACGGTTTAAGAAGTTACTGTCAACACAATCAAAGATTAACACCCAAGAATAGCCGAGATAAGTACCAGGAGGTTTACTCCATGGCTTGGAGGCCAGCCGCACACATGAGAGGAAAAGGCAGCTCAGACAGAGAAGGGAGCACCAAATAAAGGGCGTTGGGAGGATCTTCCCAGGATGGGAGATGCATGCTGAAAGTAGACTATAGACCAAACATGATTGCCACTCAATGCCTCTTTTGCAAACCACAGCACCCAAAAGGAGAGAGAGAACAAAAGGGAATGCCCTGCCACAGAGACAAGGTGGGATGATGGGGATAGGGGGTGGGAGGGGTACTGGGATCAGTGGTGGTGGAGAATGGGCACTGGTGGAGGGATGGGTACTCGAACATTGTGTAACTGAAACCCAAGCACAAAAATTTGTAAGTCTACAACTGTACCTCATGGTGTTTCACTAATAAAATTTTTTTTAAAAAGTTACTGTCAACTAAAAGACACTCCTGATTCTCACTGTGCCCATATAATTTACTCCATAAAATCCTCAAGGAATGTTGCTCCTCCCCAACTCTCACCATCACCATCCACCCCCAACAACTGTTCACATGGACAGATGATGGGTGCTTCGTATGAAAACTTAGTTTAAAATCAAAATCACTGCATTTCATGCTGTATGAAATATGAGGAAAAGTATTTCAAAGAATCTGACAAATAAAAATGTAAAGAAGGGGCAGAAGCTCACATTACTAGGTGCATCAAGTCTTGAACTTCATTCTTTGGAAATCTTAAAATATCAGTGAGGGGAGCATAAAAGACCAATTAATCAGGCTGTTTGTTCTCTGAGTGTGAGTCACTGTTGCCATCTGCAGTTAAAAGCAGGACCTGCAGTACTACCCAATCTGGCGGTAAGGCTTGGCTTGGAACAGAGCTCCTGAGAGATGGGGTGCCACGGGGCCCAGAGGTCTGTTCCCCAAGTGCAGAAAATGAGGGGGTTACCTGCAAGATCAGCTCTTTTTCCACCACCTCTTCGGTTTTGCTGATGAGACGCTTCTGCAAGGTGTGGATTTTCTCTATCAGCTCAAAGGTACTGGGGTCGCTGGCCTGTGAGAGAACAAAATGAAGCAGTTGACCCATGTTTCAGAGCACCAAGATCCCGGAATAACACAATCACTGTTTAATCACAACCTACTGCCAACCTCTAGGCCCAGTACAGAGAGATGCAAAAGCTCCCACAGAGCATAGCAATGAGGATGGTCATCGAACCAGGTGGAAGTTCAGCTAATGGCTTGGCTTGTGGCTCTGGTTGAGCAATAAAGGGGAAACGACTATGCTTATTCCAGGAGCGGGAATAGTATTGATAATGATGGTAACAATAACAATGATGATAAATGCTATGCAAGATCCCCGATCCTTCATCAGCATGCAAACACCACCCAATACATCATCAAATCTGAACCACGTGACAGCCCAGGATAGACGCCAGTCTCCTTCTTTGACAGATAAATCAACTAAGACTCAGAGGATTGTTTCTTGCTCTGGCAGGAGGGACAGATCTGTGCCCAAGTCCATGTGTGCCTACTTAATTACTAAGCTCTGTAGAAGCAAAACAGGGTTCCCTCATTCAGCACTTTGCAGCCTGGACCCCAGGTCCCCTTGGACCTCAAGGGTATTCTAGGGGGGGGGGGTGGTCACAGTGAAAATTGAGTAGATTGAGGGCCACTGCACAAGACTAAAGGGCTGATCAGTAGGACAGAGATGGATCAAAGAGGTTGATAAACTGGGCCCTAATTCACGCAGTTTCAGGGATCATCTTGGCGGTGGGGGGATCAGAGTGATAGTACAGGGTAGAGCCCTTGCATTGCCTGCAGCTGACCCAGGTTCAATCCCATTACTCCACATGGGCCCCTGAGCCCATCAAGAGTGATTCCTTGAGTGTAGAGCCAGGAGTAAGCCCTGAGCACAGCCAAGTGTGGCCAAAACCCTAAATAATTGAATAAATAAATAAATGAGGAAAAAAAGAGAAAAGAATCCTTTTCTTTTGTTATTTGCCTACGAGAAAATATTGATTTCAGTCTATGATGTAGAAGGTTTCTAGGATGTGGACTTCCGCTGTTAATTGTCAGCAGAACACGATCATGGCATTTAGCTTTCAGATGGAGTTATCAATCCGTAAAGCATTGATGCGCCCTCAGTAGCTATCTGTGTACCATTCAGGCAAGAGCTACAGTTATAAACTGATAATTTGTCCTCTACACTTTGAGCCAAAGCGTCACTTCCAACTGTACTGACATTTTAAATTAATCTAGCAGCTAAATATTTTCAACGACCTCCCGTGTCTCTATTTTCCAATTTTTTAATAGAAATTGACGTGGAATTGGAAACTTTAAAGATCTGCTTGGAAACACATGGAATAAACTAATGTGACAGTAAACGGATTTAAAATCTTCAGCATCACTTCCCCAGACATATCCATATTGTTGTTAGTTTAGTAAACTGCACCACTCTTGGCATTTGAAGACAAATTAAGAGAGGCACCAAACGGGGGTGGGGAGGGGAGAGGGTGGAGATCCCATTGACTCTAACTTTGCTTAAGAAATCTTGAGCAGTGCCAACTGATATCCATATATTGGGATTAGATTTGGCACACATTCACTTGGCAACACTGGATGTTGTTAAAATTCAGGCCTCGTGTTTACACAACAATTTATAATGCATTATCTTTAATGCTCTCTTCATTAAAAGGAAAAAAAGAAAATTGAAAAACAAAAGCCAACTTGGCGGATTTTCTCCTTTGCCCTGCTCTTGTTTATATCACTTACATAGACTCTCCCAGCACCCTCACTGTTAATTAGTCAGACCCCTTTCCACACTCACATGGCTTATACTTGACCATCTCCCCGCCCCCGAAATAAACAGAGCTTGTCTTGAGCTGCAATCTGCCATGCTGGTGGCATGGTCTAGTAGGAAAGTCAGAAAATATGTGGTCCATTATTTAACGCTTTATCAATGGGACTCTGACCGTGTCTCTAAATCCTAAGAAGCAAGGCTAGTTCACAAATACCCAGCTTCCTATCTGGATGCAGGGTCCAGCTGAAAAATGCTAAAGATGCTAGTAGCTGATGTATCTTGATGCAGAGAACAGCCAAGGGCTTAAGAGAGAGTCGAAGGCTACTGGTCTGAGCATTAGTGACCTACACCAGAAAAATCAATGTTGGCAGGGGAGGTCAATTCATAGTGATCACTGGATCTTTAGACACAAAAGATTTTGTCCAAGTTTTTTCCTAAAACAAAACCCCAGTAAGACATCTGGTTCTGGAAGGGTCCAATTTACCCTTGGTTCTGCTTTCCATTTTAGGTGACAATTTGCATAGTATTAAATAAAACTGTGCTTTTTATTGTGCTGGAGGAAGAAAAGGGGCAGGAGAGATTTGGATGTGGGAGGAAGGTTCTCTCAGATGTTCCTTACCTCAAGCTTTCTCCATCTGTGCACATTCATGGGGTTCTCCAGTTCCTCCTCCAGGGCTCTGCAACGTGTCCTCTCCTTCAAGAACTCTCTCTGCATGTGAAAAAGCTCCTGCCTGAAGAAGATCAAACTTTCTTTTCCAAGAAATCCTTTGGCCATTTGAATATCCTATCTTTAAGTAGTTACACATATCAGCATCTTTATATTAAAAAACAAAATTAGGGAGAGCTGGAGAGATTCCTCAATGGTGTGCAGAGGACACCTGGTGTCAATCCCTGGCATTTTATGGTTTCCCAAGCTCCATCAGAAGTGACCCCCAAGCATAAAAGTAGGAAGGGAAGACCGGAGGAAACGAAGAAGGGAGGAAGGAAGGAATGAAGGGAGGAAGGGAGGAAAGGAAAGAAGGAAGGAGGGAAGAAGGGAGGGATATTAGCCCTCCTAACTTGGTGATGATAATTCTTGCAGAGATTAAACTTTAGTTTTGCTTTAATAAACAAAAAGAGTTTGACCTAACTCAAAGAGCGGGAGCATGTGCCCTGCAGGCAGGAATCCAAGGTTGGGTCTCCAGCACCACGTGGTCCTCCAAGCACCACTGGCTTTGTTGGGAGGTAGGGAAGAGGGAAACCCTTGCATCGATAGACACTGCTAAGGATATTAACAATGAGAAAAGTCCCAGAATTTCCGAATCATGATTCTGGATACCCAAAAACTTTAAGAGTAGGTGGGAAAGACAGAAGGGAGGGAATGTGTGCAAGGTTCGCAGTGCTTTTGTCTGGCTGCCATCATCTCAACAGCAGTGCAAGAGAACCACCTGCACCTCACCACCGGGTCTGTCGTGTCACAGGCTCTTAAGGCCCACATGCCGGATCACCTGACACCAGTCACTGCGGTGTGGGTGCATGCCTGCAGGTGGCCCTGTGCCTGTGTGCTTGCTGCCACACTGATTGCCCCTGGAATCATCTGGGGCACCTGGGGCACTTTGTTCACACACCTTCCCCAAGGGGAGCCAACCTTAATTGGTCTAGCATTTGGGTTTCTTAAGTTCAAAAGTTCTGCTGGTCCTTCTAATGAGCCTCCAGAATTGAGAAACACTAAACAACTATAATATTTTCTTGTTTTGTTTTGGGGTCACACCTGGTAGTGCTCAGGTTTTACTCCGGATTCTAGGCTCAGAGATCACTCTTGGCAGGGTTCAGAGAACCATATGGAGTGCCAGAGATTGAACCCAGGTCTGGTGTGTGCCAGGCAAATGTCCTACCCACTGGATGATCTCTCCAGCCCCCAGTGACATCTTATCTCATGCTCTATGACTGTGCAGAGGGCTTGCTCAGTCCAGAAGCACGAGCTCCAGCTAAAACTACTTGTAAAACCTGTGGGAATCTCTAGCTAACAGGTAAGCTACTGTAGTCATTCCCCAGGACCCTGTGAGCTGGCTGCCTCCTGTGGAGAAGCTTTGTTGGGAGGTAGGGAAGAGGGAAACCCTTGCATTGACAGACACTGGTAAGGATATTATTATCTGTCCTCATCTGCTCAAGTGTGCAGATTACTAATATAACCATCTCTTTTTACTTAATTGCTTCATTTAAACCAATAATACAACTTCCCCTCATTAGCAAGACAAACCATTAGAATTAACTGCATGGTGTTCACTCAACGGGGAGCTCAGAGCAAGCTGCTTAGAATTAAAAGCATATTTTTAACACTTCAATTTTCTAGAGTGTCATGGGAAAAGAAGAGTAAAAAGCATCAGCCACCCTGATTGATGGCGTATTTTGTACTCATCTCTATATTGGGTACATGAAGTGTGTTTTCATCTTTGATTTTAACCATACACCTAGTGTTCAGAGAAGTTAAATTATGGAACCGAGGTCACAAGGCTTGCTTGCATCAAGATATTGATTAAGTTCTCTTTCCATTGAGAAAAGACAATCTATTATCAACAAACTCACAATATTTTTAGGAAAGGGTCAAATATGGTCATTTGTTTTTATAAGAAAAATAACTCAGGCCTGGCAAGTTTAGTGAGGACCTTGGAGATCTTTCAATAGCTACTTAGTATGAATCCATTTATCTTCAAAATGCCAATGGTGTTATCTCTGGGTAGTAAACTTGCGAGTCATTTTTTAACACCTGCTTTATATTTTTTCTGCATTTCCCACATTTTCTACAATGAATTTGGATCACTTGCATCATCTGAAATATGAGCAACTTAAAAAAAAGTATTGATTTCTCTTTGATAGTGGCAACTTCCCCTGCCTAGATATATTCACTGCATCTAAAGAGCAAAAAGCTATCTTCTAAATTCCATTAATTGAAAAAGCTGACCCCTACAGGCCTGGTCCCAAGACAGTCACAGTTCCTCTTCACCTCCTGGTCCGCTTGGAATTAGGGAGCTAAAGAGACGACACCAACCCTTTTCCTCCTTCTCCTGCAACTGTCTGTACAAAGCCTGGGGATCTGTCCCCAAGAGAAAGTAGCTCTTGTATAATGTGAGATTTAAAGGAGGAGGCACACGAAGCTAAAGCGAAAGCTGCATGAAGATAAACCAAAAGTGAGATATGAAATCTGACTGCCTTCTGAGGAAACAGAGTTTTCAAATAGTGATAAAATCAAATTTCCCCCTTTTGATTCTGTGCGTAATTCCAGGGAAAAGATGTGCAAATGTTACTAGGATTAAATTTAAATATTGATGCTCCATCTAGTGCATGCCGCCTTATTAAAGAAATTCTAAAGCACCTGTTAAAATTGTTTTTTCTGAATTATAATGACTTTGGTTAGTGATTTGACTTCAGTTTTTTAAAAATCAGAATTAAGTTCTTGCTGTTTTAATAGGAATCACTTCAGGCAGAGTTTGAACTGGAGCAGATTGGGATTAGGCCAGTGGTGCTGGGGAGTGTGGTGTGTAGGTGCAACACCTGGCAATACTGGGGACCCCTGGGGCCACACCAGTGGTACTCAGGAACCACCAGGGTTTATACCTGAGGTGCTGTGAGATACCCAAGGAGCTGGTGGGGGGTGGGAGGCATTCAATGCCAGGTACCCGACCCAGAGACTGGCACATGTTTAATATGTGCTCTATGCTTTAGCTATCTGATTCCAAGAATAAAATCCTTTTTGAAAGACTCTTTGCACTTGTTTACATTCCCCAAGAGTAAACTTATGCATTTTTGTGATATAGAATGAGTACAATGTATCCATTCTGAAACATGGAGATTCTGAAATATGAAAATTCTGAAAAAATGAAAAATTGTAAAAATCTTTTGATAATATCAATATGTCAAAAAATTGTTCTGTAGGATTTAGTGAAAACTTTCAATGCCCAACAAGAGGAGCCAATATTCATTTCCAGAGCTCTGAGGCGGCGCCCATTACCTTAGTTCATCAACATTGGCCACACTCCTGGCAAGGATCCCCTTTTCTCGGCGAAGCTTCTTGATCTCAAGTTTGAGGATTCTCATGTCCTCCAACCTCTGATTGTATTGGTTCTCACCCTTATTCAACACAGACTGTTGGATCTTTATCTTCTCGTACAGCAAAGCTAACTCATCATTGCGCCGAACAAGCTGAGACCCAAGGATATCTCTCTCACTGATGACCTACGAAGGTAGAGAAGCAAATTCAAGTCCAATGAGTCACTCTGGCAACTGCATTCATTGATGCAGTATAAGTTCCCCTGTGCTGGGTTCGCATGGGCAGGACCCTGGAAGCAGACTTGAGACAAACAAAACTGCAAGCTTCCTACAAGGTTGAAAACTCATTGGAAATGAAGACAGAAACAAAAAATAGCCCGTGCTTGTCACCATGCTCCTCCCCCTCCTCCTCTACACCCCCTTCCTCTTCCTCATTTTCCAATGTCTCTTGGCCCATGGGTATTTGCTTCCTCACCCTAGCCATTTTTTGGTTTGTTTTTGTTTGTTTGGGGGCACACCCAACTGTGCTTGGGGCCTACTCCTGGCTCTGTGCTTACGGATCTCCCCTGGCACCAGGAATCAAGCCCAGGTCAGCTGCATGCCCTCTCCACTGTACTCTTGCTCCAGCCCCTCCAGCTCATTTTTTAAAATAAATAGTTGTGTTTGAATGCCTCTATAGTGGTTTAGCTCTTGCCAAGTGCCTCCACTCCTTACTGTTTTATACTAGCCAACTGCCTTTTTTTAACCTGCCAGATCTCTGGAAGTATTTAAGTTTTTAAGTCCCCAATGAGGGGTGTAAGTATAAGTGTTAATTACACTTGTGAGCAAACAATTGTATTATACTAGAATGCAGTTAGGCTTCCTACAGACAAGTACTCTATTTCCTTGTTGACCACCATGTCCCCAGTACCCAAAGGAGTGACAGACACATAGTAGGTACCTGTAAAGACTACCCGGAGGAGTGGAATAAGTGAATAGTAAATATTCAACCACAGATTAATGCTGTGCCAGTGGATTGAATGGAAAAGCTGAACGCAGGATGAGTGTGTGTTAGGCTTAGATCAAACACTTGTGTGTAAGGGGAGGTGTGCGTGAGATGTCCCTACCTGGTCCAGTTCCTTCTTCTGCCTCAGCCTCTCCCCATCAGCCTCAGCAATGATCCGCAAGAGTTTTCTCTCCTCAGATTCCTGCTTTTCAATGAAGTGTTTAGTCTCCAGGGCCTGCATTCTTAGCTTCTGCAGTTCAGCCTGGCAATGAGCAAAAGATACAGACAATTTCACCCTGTAACAGCACAAACCAAGAGTGGGAGGCCCAGATTTAGATGCACAGTTGTGCTTCTTAAGCCTTCTTCATATGTTTCATTTAACAGGGTTTGATCACTCTCACAAGCAAGACAAGCTTTGTAGACACACACACACACACACACACACACACACACACACACACAAATGCAAAGGAGCAATGAACATTATAATGATAATGTTTATTCTATGAGATGTGCCCTTTAGGGATTTCCATCATTTTTCTACATATGTGTAGTAGAAGAGTCATTGTTATTCAGCAGCACTTTTCTTACCAACTAAACAGAAAGAGAATTCGCAAAGAAGAGTGCAGAGGATATCGGGGTGAGGATGGTTGCAGGGGTGAGCTCTATCTGAACCCATTCCTTGCAATGGTCTACCAGCATGTCAAATGAAAAAAACAAAGTTCATTGTATGAAAATATTAAATTAATGAAGGTAACAACTAAATGTCTATATCCTATACAACAGCATGCTAGAACAGAAGAACGTCATGGTACAGATGGTATAGAGCTCCTGCACCTGGAAGAAAGGATAAACTATTCAAGTATCCAAATACTAGATGCTGGCAATGCTTATTCAGAATCTTAATTACTACACAGACAATTTTTGTAACTGATGTTACAAAGGGTCAGAGAACTGGGGTTGTCAGGCAGGCTTCCTGGGAGAGCACAGATCCCAAAGCTCTTGAAATCAGAAGACATGGGGGAAGAGGTGATATAGATTATTAAGTTTCAGAAAGAAAATTCCCCTCATCAAGGACACAATCACTTGCATGCCACATATGTCTATGGTCTCCAATAATATACCAGGCATGATCCTCGACTTTTTTAATGACATTTTTCTCCCCATTTCACAAGCACAATTACAGGGATGAACCAAAGGAGATTACCTCGCCTCGTAGAAGTCACAGAGTTGAGATTACAACCCAGGTCTTCTGATTCTGAAGCCTGTGGCCCCTCTGGTGTCACCATCCAATAGTTCAAAGTCAGATACAGAAGATGAGCATGATTTGAAGGATTTACCATGCACTAGATGTAACAAATATGGGAATGCCATCAACTGTGGCTTAAAACAACAAGGGAGGACCCAGAAATGAGTTTCCCTTTCAGTCTGATGTTGGAATGGAAGAACCAGTCATGGTCTTTGTCACCGACAGACATTTCCAAATGCAAGAAATATGTGTAGGGGGAAGAGGACTTAACAAACTATCTTACTGAATAAAGGCATGCTAACTATAACACTCCTGGTGTGTTCAACAGACAGTCTGGGGTGTTAGGTAGAGAGTGGCAAGAGAGAAGGCTAGCAAAACCATTGAGTTGGACTACAACGGGGCCTCGCAGGCTGCACACTATATAGTATATGCAATGGGGAATTATGCAAAGGGAGAGAGCAATATGTCTTTGAGAGGACCCATGCCCAGAGGGGAAGAATAAATGCTACTACAGACTAGGTTAGCATAGAAGAAACAATCCGAAGAAGGAGCTCTGCTGACTCATGCCTGAGATCACATAGGAAAGGACAAAGCTTTTCGAAGGTTTGCAGTGAGTCAATGACCATGAAGTTTTTTTTTCGTTCAAAGATACAATGGGATCTCATCTCCATCCACCCAGAAACATCACCGAAGTAATAGGAACCCCCATATTTATAAGTGTCTATGAACCAAGTCCACTTTAGTTGAGATCTGCCTCTAACCCATAAAGACAAGAGCCATTAACTCCACACCTCATATCTACCCTAACGGCAGGGAGATAACCACACCTAGTAATAGATGTGCAATGTCAAAACTAAAAGCAGCCAGCTACTGTAAAGCCAAGGGCTTCTTTCATGACATTTTGTTTGTTCATTCATGAAATGTGTTTTGGTCTAGGGATAAGCAAAAAGAAATACTTATTGAGAAAAGAGCTGGTCTAATGTTTACCACTTTGGGGGATTGCCTGTTAGGAAAGAGAGTGAAGAGCCAGCCTTTCTGCTTCTATAATCACTTAAGGTGACAGAGAAGACAGCAATGAAATACCTGCTTGTCTCATTCTTTCTTTAATAAAACTTTTATTTTCCCAGATGTGCGACACTCACTTGCCTGTTCCTAAGTGCCAAGAGCTGATCAGAATCCATCAGCACAACAAAATGAAACCTCTGTTATATTAAAATGCAATCAACGGTGTGTAAAAGTATCTGTCTGAAATGTAAAACCATTCATGCGTTTGGCATTGCTGAGTGGTTGTTTTTTTGCCCCCCCCCGCCCCGCCCCATAATCTATCAAAATTCTGAGTGGTCTCCTTATGTCATAAATTTATGGGCTGTAAACAAGATGTGGCATTAGACATTGGCAGCAAATGTTAACATCAACAAAATACCTTGGGTCTAATGCATTTAGCAGCTATAAATCTGAGCTGTCTTGCCCAGGAAAAGGTAGTAACAACTGCTCTGCTCCCAAAAGCCCATCAAAGCAGTGTTATAGGTGGGACCCAAGATATTAGCATCTATCGAAGTGTGACTGACTGTAATATGATGGCATGCACACTCTTTAATCACTGCCCCCACAATTATGCAGTCGTATGATATGGCTTGATAGGATATATATCATCTCACTTGGTACAGCCATAAAGCAAATCACAAGACCCACAATGGCAGGATACTGGCCCATCACCCAGAGGGGCTTGAAGAAGCCACCTCTTTCCACCCAGCAACACAATCAGGGACTCCTGAACTCTTAAGTTTGCTCCCTCTGTGCCTCTCTAGGACCGTTTCCATCCATGTCATTCTGGAGAGCCCAAGAAGTGCAAAGGCCTGGAAGTCAGTTGCTAACATGATGCTCTGCTCTGGACATAGAGAATTTGTTGCTGAATTATTCACCAAGAATCAAAGGACTGTCAGATTGATGTGGGATGATTGGGAAGTGACGAGCCAGACTCGGGGGCTTGTTAGTTACTGGAAGGCAGACACTCCAAATGAGATGACTCCTTCAGTGCTGATGAAACAAGACGGGGACAGAATGGGCAGATGAGCGCAGAGGCAGTGGCATCTACAAAGAACTATTGACATTCTGTCAGGACCATAATGTGCTGACAATGTCGAGAATCCTGAGGCGACAGCAGAGCCTTGCAGCGACTGAGAAGGGGAGAGAAATGTGGAAGGAGCAAGTTTTTCCTCCTGAGGAGGATGGCCGAGGCTGAGGATGATCTCTGACGGACAATTGTCTGTCTGCTTGGAGAAGTCAAAAATTAGGTTGCCCTGTCAAGAGGCATCTCACTGCATCCAAAACAGGTGAAGCCTTGCAATTTCAGAAGAGCTCGTGGGTCTTCATATTTTGTAGAACTTTCTATAATCAGCTAAATGTCTTTTGGAGTAAAGTCACTAGAAAATCTGTCCTTTCCACTACAGTTTTGTTTGGCAAAATTTCTATGACAAAAGTCCAGAGACCCATGTGGAACATGACTCAAATTTGAGGCTAAAAAAATCAAAGGACTGGAACTCAAGAGTTGCACTGTCATATTTTTTTAAAGATGTCCAGTGGAGGCTAGAACAATAGTACAGTGGGTAGGGCACTTGCATTGCATGCAGCCGACCCAGACTCAATCCCCAGCACCTCATATGGTCCCCTGAGCCTTCCTAGGAGTATTTTCTGAGCACAGAGCCAGGGATGGCCCCTGAGTATTGCCAGGTTTGGCCCAAAAACAAAACATAAGAATGTCGAATAGGCATATTGACAGGTCAAATTTACCCAGTAGAAGCATTGTTGCAAGTCTCCCCTAGGTGCCCCCAAATCATATATCAAGCAGGTGTCCTATTCCTTTTCCTCATCCTTGCCTTTATGGAAAATTGGTGGAAGAGCACCCTATTTTCAGCCCTATGCAGTCATCTTCCTAGGCTGTCCTGTAATTTATATAAACTAAAGCTGTCCAAACCTAGGCTTCCTCATCTAGATCTGAGAAGAAACCCTTTTATGTCCACCACTTGCCAACTCTAGAGGCCCAGTATCAAATATCAGAGTTCTATTGCCTTTTAATTTATATTGTTACCATATTTCTTTGGAGATATATGTGTAAAGGCTGGCTGATGGAGGGTATAAATGAAATAAATATTAACTGAAATAAAACTGCAAATTAGAAATAATACCTCTTCTCACATGGTATTGCTTATTCCAAAGCCAGAATTTAAAGTAGATGGCAATTAATTCTCCCCTGGGCCACATATATACCGCTAATAAATCTTTTGAGTAGAAAATTATTCAGGAAAGTAAGAGGTGCGGTTCAGTGTCACCTATAAAAGGAATGTGAGATGTACCAGGTCAAGTTTCTGAATCCTATCTTACATAGGTCCAGGAGGCCTATGGATTAGAAACACAATAAGATTTTTCTGTGATCCATTCAGTAATTACACTCCAATGCACTAAAAGAGCAAAATTAGAGAAAACTATGTTGAACAAGTAGGAGGAATAAAGCAGAATTTTTCAAACCTTATAAAAAAAATTTATCCTTTCTCTTTCTTGGTAAGTTTTCTTTTATAGGAGGTTGGGGGAAGTTAGGCCACATGCAGGTGTGCTCAGGGCTTATGCCTGGCTCTGTGCTCAGGAATCACTCCAGGAAGTGCTGTGTTATATATATGGTGCTGAGAATTGAACTGGGGACAACAGCGTCCAAGTCAGCACCCTACCTCCTCTACTATCTCTGTAAGATTTGTTGAGTATTTTGTTTTGTTTTCAAGCCACACCTAGTGGTGCTCAGGGCTTACTCCTGACTCTGTGATCAGGAATCACTCTGGGAGGTGCAGAGGAGACCATATGGAGTGCTAGCAATCGAACCTGGGTCAGCTGCATGCAAGACAAGCACCAAACCTGCTATAAGATCTTTATGTCCCCCAAGTACGTTAAGTTTTAATGCAGAATTTTCTGTCCTTTTTATTGAACAAGCTGTAAGGGGAGTGTGTCATATAAATATATCAGTTATCACAACATTGTTTTATAAAAGAAATTTTGTTATATTTTAATCTTTCCCTGATCAAGTAAATGTACCTTAATATCATTTGATGTAGTAGTTCTACTTCCATGAAGACCTATCATTAAGCTGACAAACCCATTATTAAATTTAGAAAGATATCTTCATCTTAGAATCAAGAGGTATTAAACCTGCCCCCCCCCAAGAAACAATTGATCTGAAATTTCCTGGTCAACACTAGTGAAATAATTTGTCTAATACTTTTTCATCTTCCCTTAAGGCAGAGGTTCCCAAACATTTTTTTGGCCTGCTGCCCCCTTTCCAGAAAAATGAAATAAAACCATTTAATAACCCCCAAAATATAGTAAACCTGCCCCAAACCAACACACTTTTCCAGATCAACACTATCTTTGAAAGCGAACAGGTAAAGAAACCACAATCTTCAAACTCATTTTGAACAGAGTTTCTACACATGGTTCATTAGCATTCATGAATATTCTGAGCACGTATTTTCCAAAATTAAAGTGACATCATTCTCTTAGTTTCTCTTTAAATCCTTGGTCAAAGAATCAAAAGGGAACTCTTTTGGATTGATAGGAAAAGAAAAATACATTAGGTTTAGTGACTGGATAGTAAAGCATATTTGGTTAAAGGTCTTGAAGGGGCATTATTATTCGGTGTGTGTTGTTGGAAAGATTTTATATATTATATAAGTAGATTCTAAATTCATAGATTTAAATGGGTATGACTCAATAAAATAGAAAAAAAACCTCAGAGGTAATTTATTACAGAAGTGCCTACAAAGTTCCAAGACCCAGAGATGTAAGAAGGACTATTAATCTCATCACGAGCAAACCAAGTGAACACAAAGTATGGTACCTGGTAATTTATGACAATACGGGCAGAAAAGGCACATGCACAAGATGTATACAAAGATTAGGAGCAGAGGGACAAGTGTTCTGTCTCAATTGCCTCATAGAAGACCCAAGGAGCAGGTAGAAGGGTGGGATATGGGCACAGGGTTGGATTTGGCTTTTGAAAATAAAAGGACTATAAGAAACCTCCATGTTCAGCGCTTCTTGGGTATGGCTGTATACCAGCAGTTCGCTCTTCCCCCTATGTGATGGAAGTTTGCGTGGGTGAATTGGGACCCTCCCCATGTTCATCTGAAACCACCACCTGCCTGGAGGCTTGACCAGGAGGAGATAGGCTCATCCTTCTCTTCTCGCCCTGTCACTCTCCTTGCCCTGTGTTGCCTTCAGCTAGCCTGGAGCCAACCTCAGTTAGGTGGAACAGACAGACTCTTGGCCATCACTTTTGTCATGAGAGCTGTACCTTCAGTGTTTCCTTTTCCTTTTCTATCCGCTGCTGTTCCAGATGTAGCTTCACAAGTGCTGACTCCTTAGAAGAGATTTCTTCTTTCAACTGGTCTACCTGATGGGTCATAATCTTTAACTTTCTCCTCATTTCCGTTATCTCATCCTAACAAAAGCAAAGGAGAAATGTTTGAAAGTGAATTAGACATCACCATCCTCAAGAGCTCATACATACTCAAGAGCTTTTAAGGGAGACTTTTACAGCAAAGATCTCTTGACCAATGACAAGTGGACTGTTCCTTTGTAACTTGTACCCATTGACCCCCAAAGTACTTTATAGCATTAACTCTTAATACTCTCATCAGGTACATATACAAAGTATTCATAGTGAATATCACACACGTATGCACGTGCACACACGCGCACACACACACACACACACACACACACACACACACACTTACACATTATTCCTAATTCATACACTTTTTTCCTAATTTTAGCAGGCACAATCTGGAAACACAACAAACATGATCACTGACATATTACGAAGCAGAGTCTGTAATTAGATGACAAGAGACTGCTGCTCCCCTTTCTGTCACAGTCATTGCTAGCAGTTTTAAACAGCAGAAGCAGAAGTATGGCGATTCTATCTAATAATTAAAAGCTGGGCCAGGATTCTCAAGTCCTATCATTTGTATCATTTCCATTTCAAACAACATGACAGTATGTATAAATTGTTGCTCCCTGGCTTGCAAGCACCATGAGATTTATTTCTTGATTTATTCTACACTCTGCCATTAGGATAGCAGAGAGGAAGCATCAAAAAAGTCAATGCATAAATATTTTCTTTACCTGAGCCTCCACCAAATTTTTGCTATACAGATTTCTATCTGACCTCACAGCTTCATAAAGGTTCTGCTGTTGTTTTAATTTAGTCTCTGATTCGGCGATTTTTTTCCTATAGTCAAAGATCTGCATCTCACGAACTTTTATGTCTTCCATGTTCATGAGGACCTGGAGGAGAAAGGGGGAAAAAGGTGCAGTTGGTTCAAAAGCCCATTTCCAGTTATTAGTTCAGGAAAATAAGAAAGTACTATCAAAGAAACCACCAGTCAGAAAAGCTGACCAAGGTCTAATCACCAGGTAGTATACAGAAATGCAGCCCACTGATGAGCACCAATGAAACACAATTTATTGACTGACACTGCCATTCAGTTGGTGCTTGAGTTGTTAGCACAGTTAGGCTGTGATCACAGCATGGCGGGGAGAAAGAAATCCTTTCAGTTCTTAAAATCTCTCCTAATCACCCTATGCACCAAAAAGGCAAAGAAAAGGCTCAGCTTAAACAGATCTTAACACCAAGCATGAAAAAAGATAAGCGATAACTTAGCTCCTATCCCACACTCATAGCTCCATGAAGTTGACCATGAGAAAAAAAATGACCTTTGAACACTGATAGCAATCATAATGCTGCCTTGCCAACATCAACTTCACTCCATCAGGGAAACTCAAAAGACCTCATAAAAATGCATTCTATTGTACACTAAAGCCTTGGAAGAAAGATGAGATATGAAAATAGCAGCCTACTTTCTGCAAGCGTAAAGAATTGAGGCACAAAGTTCCACCATTGACTCCTACACCTCTGCAAGCACCCAGAAAGCAGAAGTCACATCTCTCGGAGCTATAAAGGCCCCAGACTACGATTTCTTTAAAATAACAAACTTCCTTTAAAATTCCTTAAGAAGAAAATTTTGAGCAAGAAAATGGATCGATCAGTTTTCTTAGACTTCCATTTAAGAAAGGGTAAAATTAAATTTTATTAAATGCCTTTTTATCATAAATAGTTCCGTATAATTTTTTTCTTGGTGGTCAATTGCTTTATTATACCTGACATCCTTTCATTTATGTTTTTGGGGTCACATCCAGGTGATGATCAGAGATGACTCCTGGCTGTGCACTTGGGAATCACTCCTGGCAGACTCAGAGGACCATATGTGGTACCAGGGATCAAACAGTTCAGTTGAGTGCAAGGAAGGCAAACTCCTAACCGACTGTACTATCTCTCTAGCCCCTGCTTTAAAATACTTGGCAATAAGTGTTTCTTTTGAAAATTATTTTTTTAATTTCTTTGTACATAGCCCCTCATGTCCTAATTTTAAATATAAGCACGCATGTGAAATAATACTCTTTTGCTATATTTACCTGGACCTTCCTTCCGCCCTCCTCTCCTTAGCCAACACTAATCCCTCAACTACCTAAAATATAACCAGGTAAACTTGTAGCCTTTGTTCTTCCATATTTTTCTCTGAATTCTACATATTCTACACATATCTACAAACATCATGAACACCATAATAGTCAATGTGTCTTAGGCACCAGGCATTTATGAAATAGCTCATTTAATCTTTATCTAAAAACTCTATGAGGGGGCTGGAGCGATAGCACAGCGGGTAGGGCGTTTGCCTTGCACGCAGCCAACATGGCCGACACAGGTTCGATTCCCAGCACCCTATATGGTCCCCTGAGCACCGCCAGGAGCAATTCCTGAGTGCATGCGCCAGGAGTAACCGCTGAGCATTGCCGGGTGTGACCCAAAAAGAAAAAAAAAACTCTATGAGAATTACAATACATATTTTCACCCCAATATTCAAAGAAAAAACTGATAGCCAATGAAATACCATGCTCAGCAATTCATGTAATATATATGTATGTACGTATGTATGTATATATACACATATATATATATACATACATGTATACCTTTGCTTTGCACTTTGGATTTTGTTTCTATTTGTTAGAAAAACGAGACCTTACACTTTTATTTACCTTGCTTGTTACTAAATTGTACTTTGGGACCAGAGAGATAATATAGGTGTTACGGTGTTTCCAGGCACAGCATATGGTCCCCTTAGCACCATCAGGGAGTAACTCCTGAGCACAGAGTCAGGAGTAATCCCTAAGCACCAATGAGTATGGCCCAACCCCAACATCGATCATTGGAATTAATGATCAGTCTTTGTAAATGCTATAACACCCTACCGTGTGGATGTACATTTGTATGCTAAACTCTAATGATAGGCTTTAACTGTGTTTCCTTTTTCCTGACACTCTGAACCATAATGCAGTGATATTTTTTTGTACACGTGGCATCATACACTTGTGATTTTACTTCCAAGAGATGGATTCCCAAGAGTTAAATGTCTGGTTCAAAATTAGCCCTATTTTTAACTTTAACAGATACTGCTAGACTGATTTTTAGAATGACTATAACACTTTACATATCCAGACCATTGGAAAGAGTTTTCTTAATAGAAAAATGTATTTGCAGAGTCAGGATAAACCCTCTTTGGTCATACTGGATGATTCTTTTAATGTACTGTTGAATTTCGTTTGCTAGAATTCCATTTAGGATTCTGCATACATAGTCATGAATAAACTTGGTCTCGAGCTTGCTTTTCAGTTCTTTTTGAAAATGAAGTTTTCTTCTGGTTTCATAAAGTTAATAGCTCACCTTTATTTCTTCTCATTTATCCACTCACCCATTTATTCTTTCACTCAGTGAAGACATGTCTGTGAGATGTGAGACACTGTTTAAAACTGACCTACTCTGGTACTGTAAAACTGACCCATGGAAAGTACTCAGTGGTAGAGAGAGGAATAAGACACATTCCCTACCCCAAGTTCACCTCTGCTAAGTAAATTTGCCATAAACTTAAATAACAAAGGAAAGGATACAACAAGTTACACACCAAGCATTAAAAATCAAATACTTGTGAGCTATCAAATAGTTTCTAAAAATGGGCCTAACTATCTTATCTGAAAAGTTAATACTTGGGATTTACATGATTTGTGGGAACTGTCTGTTCCTTTTTATCCAATTAACCTAGCCCAACCAAGGTCTCTCCTTACAACCCAAACTTTCTTTTGGACCTAGAAATTGTATTTATTATCACTGCAGAAAGAATGAGTTATAGCAGTAAAGCAATGCCAAACAATACCCCAAATAATGTAAAGTGCATGAGTACGTTCCCAAATTACCCCTCACATACACACCCAAGTTATCTGATTCTTAAAAGTTTGAGGAAAGGCAATTTTAAAATCATTAAGCCTTCAGAAACTGTATGGGTGCTAACTTCTCAACTTTTCCATTGACTCCCATTGAATCCCCCCCAATTTATCTATCTATATTTTCTATTTTCTAAGATGTAGGCATCTTAGAGATGATTACCTATTTTAACCAATTATGTAGAGTTAAGAGGCCAGTTATACAAAATATTTTATATACTTTACTATTTTATTATCTTTAAATTGATAGTTGCCACTATCCCTTTTGTATGGAAAGAAAATGGCCCAAGGTAAAAATATATATAAACTCGAGGTGAATGGGTACATGAAAGGAGAAAAATGAGAAAATCTGATGCCAGGAAACCTGGTGAAGAGATAGATTGATAGGTATAAAGTGAAAAGAAATCCCTTTCCTTCTCCCATCATTTGTCTGAAATCTTTAGAATCCTTAAGAATGTGGGGGATGGGGGTGGGAGGGATACTGGGATCCGTGGTGGTGGGAAAGGGGCACTCGTGGAGGGATGGGTATTTGATCATTGTATAATTGAAACCCAAGCACAAAATTTTGTAAGTCTACAACTGTACCTCATGGTGTCTCACCAATAAAAAAAAAAAAAGAATGAGTAATACAGTGTCTGACGATATACCACAAGTGATTAAAAAGTGTTATTTAGAAATAAATGTGAAACTAAGTTGGGGGTTTGTTCTGGATATTTAATTTTTTTTAAAGAAAGAGACTGTCTCTGTCTAAAATTTAGTCTTCCTATGGACGTGACATCATCTTTGGGGCCAGTGAAATGAATAGAGTGAAAATACTTTGAACAGCATCATCAGCATTCAGAATATCAAGCAGCACATCAGAGAAGAGAAAAAATTGCTTATTCAATCACTTTGAGAAAAGGAAAAACAAGAATAATCCGCTGCACAGACAGAATAATACTGCAGAGAAAAGCTACAACCTGGAGCATTTCTTCTCATGGCGTCCAACCAGCAGGGCCCATCTTTCTGTCCACAACAATGCACAAAAATCATGAAGTTACTTCTGGACTCTTAAAACTGGGAGTAATCAGAATTGATTAGAATATCCAGAATCTCAAAGGAATTTCAATACCATGACAAAATAAATAGATAAATATATATATATATATATATATATACATTAAGAATCGATAACAGAGAAATTAATTTAAGTATTGGCATTAAATTTTCTTTGGTGAAAGTCAGTCAAACCAATATCAGGTAAAAGTGGAAAACCTGAAAATTCATAAAATGTGGAAGTGTTATGTAAAAGCAAAACCTTTCATCAGCAAAATGTCCCCCGCCCCCCCCCCTATCAAAAATAGTATATCACAAAATGTGGGATGCCAGTGGTGGGCTGGAACTAAACTAATTGATTTCCCTTTAGTACTTCAACCCAGCTCATGAGATAAATCACATCCAAATATAGAAAGCGTTATTATGGGTGGAGAGTTGGAGCTTCTTAAAGTTGTAGATGTACTTCAGAGGAGCCCAGAAAATGCTTATGGTGCACTCTGAGGGTACAGTTCCAGTTTATAACCTAATCCTACCTTTTCTTTCACTGTTAAAACAACCTGCCAATAGAAATATGAGTGAGATAAAAATCAATAACGCATGCCAAAAATCTGCAGCATAGTCAAAACATCATAGCGACGAAGGCAGGATAAGAAAGTAGGTCATTGAATTTGGAACCCTTTAACTTACATTTGATGAAATATCAGTACAATAAACTTCTCAAATAAGTTTTTCTGACTCAATGTCAATGGTTTGAGTGCTGACAATGCCTTTGCCTCCATAATAAAAGTGGAAAAAGCTCACTACCTGGAAAAAGAACAACCTCAGGTGTCCAGGAATGTGAATTTTTAAGTCCTCCCTGCTTTTCTTGATTTTTTATTTTATCCTCAAGCTCTATGCTTCTGGACTTTGTTGTT